AATACCATTCACGAATACCAAAAAATGTCACCACCAGTATAGAACACATCATCAATGTAGCTCATTTGCACCTAAACGAAAGCGATAGCAGTGTAGTAGTTCCACTCCTCGATGCCCTGTTTTATGTTTTCATAGCCAATATGATTTTGTCTGATATAGCTTTGAGCATCATCGACATCAGCTAATTTTGTCAAATAGTTTACAAATTCCCCTTTAAGATCTGCAAATAATTGTTTATCAGTTTAGTTGAGAATGATGGATTACAAAGTCAAGAAAAATGCTTCTCACCCAAATAATTGTCATGAACTGATCCATCGTAGGTTTTGGGGAATATGGCATTGTGGGGCTACACAATTCAAAAAAGGGAAATATTATATAACATCTACACGAGAATACAGGAATTCTATCACATAAAGAAGTTTGAGTTGCTACACTTACTGGGTTAAGAATTGATTTGTAAGGTGAGTCATCGACTAAGACTGTGTTCGTGGTGTCATACGATTCAAATTCTCGCCAAACCTTCTCCAATTTCTTAAACATGACTGGTTTTTGTGGATTATCCTTAAGGAAGGAACTTGTCATTTCGCATTTATCTTGACCCTACAACACAACATTCAACGCGACATTATACTAAAATTACCAAAATTCTACTAGGACACTGACCTTACAAATTCTAAAGACTCACCCAAACGAACTTCAGTTCTTCAGGTAACTGCTTTCCCATTTTCTTGGACATTTCTTTCAATACTGGATCCACATGTTTGCTAGAAAATAATTAAACGTGAAACATAAAAAACGATCCACAATTGATGAATATTAATAATTTATATATGAGATGAAGGATACCTCATTTTCGATGACCAAATGGCCACAAAAAATTTTGAAAGGCATAATTCTAAAAACTGAAAGCAGTGTGGTCGAAATTTGTAAGGTGGACGATTCGAGCCACCGGGTGCCAAAAGAACTCCATTCAAATCCAAAATGAGGAGTTTTTTGTTTGGTTGTCCTGCTTCCACAACATATTAATAATATATAATAATAATAATAATAGAAGACTAAAAATTTTCTGTTAGTTACCTAATTGAACTAATGAATGTTACCTTGTCTTCCCCTTTTGCGTTTTCTACTATATGTGAGCCTGATGGGGGGCCCACAGATACGCCTCTCTCTTCTAACGGCCAGGTGAAGTTCTGTTGATTCTGTTTCTGGGCAGGGCTGCAAGGGGGATGGGGTATATTGGAAGGAAAGTTCTTTCCCTGAATCAAAATAAAATTAGGGCAGGGCATCAATGTTCTACAAGTCAGAAAGTTGTCAGAATTTTTTATAAAATAATTCAAGTATTTTTGTGAACAATTGTAGAAAAGGAGCTGATTCACTACCTGAAGCGTCTTGAGATGGAACTACTGGGAGGGGCTGCAAGGAGGATGAGGGGAGATCGGGCTGCAAGGGGGTACGGAGACCTTCTAGCAAAAAGAATACTTGTCAGAAATTTTTATAAAATAATTCAAGTATGAAATGAAAACCGTGTAGTATTTCCAACAATGAAAGAATAACATGTTTATATATACCCATTGTTGATTCAAGAGGCTCGGGACCTTCCAACAGAAAGAGTAATCTTGACCACTTTTCTATCTCAGTCTTGTATTTCTCGGTCAAGTTGACTCAATCGTGCATCTTGACGTACCCCCTTGCAGCCACGGTCATTGATAACCCAGAACTCCTTTTAAACTCATGTGTTAAGGCCTCGACCAGGAGAGAAACATCTGGAACTTATAACCTAAAAGAGTCTCCAAGTGTGTTATATTAACAAGGAGTTCTGGGTTAGTACACATGTTCCTAGTATATGGTAGACTGATAAATTCGACACTTATGCCAATCCATGTCATAAAAGACAAGGCAACTATTTTGCCTCCCGCACTAAGGAAGGCACCAATTAATGCCTCGGTCACATTTGCCACAGTCTTACATTTTATTATTCTGCAAAACATCTTGAAACTTGACATCATACTGAAAATTCGGCTGTAGCACGATAAGGTAGCAATGGAATAGCGTTTCTGGCAGATTCCCATGAGGCCCGAC